ACAAGTCATTTCAAAAAGTGCCCAACTAGAATTCCTTCTGGGTAGAAGTGTAAATTGCATCAGAAATTGTCATTGGTCGGATGTGATCCGTTACCAGTGCAGGCAGGGGCTTTGGGAGATCTACTTTCCGAGTAGGCTGATACTGTTTACAGGAATCAATTGGAATCAACAGATCACTGCTGTCTTGACCTCAGACTAATGCCACAATGTGAAGCAGTGAGATTTCTGAAAGTCAGTTTGAGCAAACACAGTGAAAGTGAAATTCCTTATCTTGCCGACGATGTGACAAATGGATTCAATGATATTCAAGTTCTCTCCAGGCACTCAAAATTCATGTAATTTTGTTTTTTAATTCTCAGGATGGGAATTCTCACATTTTGTTTGGTAGCATTTTAAACATGCTTTTAAAAGAGGCCTAATTGAGGCCATGTGTATGTGTATACACATAAATATATCTGTATAGGCCATTAGGGATGCTATACACATACACTCTTTTTCGTTATTCTTGTATAGATAGATCCCTCAATTTAAGAAAAATAAGTTTTGAAAAGTTTACTCACTAATCTAAGCACACAAACTATATTTGTGGGAAAATCATTTTTCTCTATAAGGAGAAGCAAAAGAGGTATTACTTTCTCATATTGTTTAAAATTATACCGGACCAATGATATTCAGATGTCATGGTGTGCTTTCATTTATAGCAAGAGTAAATTCAAGTTTTAGTTCATTTCTTGTCAAGTCCAAGTCTTATTAGTAAGTCTGAAGCTGCAGTTGTATTGAACAGTTTTAACAATGAGACTATTAAAAATATGAATTATGTCTTTTGCCATGGGTTAAACATGATAGGATTTCAGATTTCACTGGCATCTCCTCTATATATTTTTTATAAGATTACTATGTCCTGTGGATGAAATGTGTAAAGCTTTCTATAGTTTTTATTATTTTAATGTATATATTATAAAAAACTGAGAGGTATTTGTTCCATCATGTAAACTAGCAGTTCATTTAATAATGCCAACTTAGAATATTGTACAATTTATACTACACAAATAAATCAATTTACATTGGTAATCACACTTAAAATTGTTAACTTAAAAGTAAAATTTTTATTAACTTAATGTTGATATGTCAAGAAATTTGACAATTTTTTCTGAATCCTATTCAGGAATTTCCCCCCAACTGAATTGTTTAGAACAAGTTGATTTTAAATTAGATAAAAATCCATACCAGACAAATTACTAGTTCTATCTTTCTACATGTTAAATTTTTTCCCTTTTAAGACTTTTTCCACAATTACAAAGATACCTTAAATGGAGACTCTAAAATATTTGTGAAGACTTATCAGATATTACAATAAACAGAGTTTGAAGAACTTTTGTAGAATTATCAGATTAATGACATTTATAAAAATAACAGATACAATTATAATCTCTTCACTACAAGCTTGCATCTATTTTCAATTATGTGTAATGTGTAGTGATTAAAAAGTCATTTAAATTAAGTAAGTTACCATTTTCAAAATCACCTAAATATAACATCTTGATCCAGTATAGAATGTTAAATTAATGATAGAAATAAAGAGTCACAGTTCACCTTTTCAGGTTTGTATTGTTTCATATTTATGCCTTTAGCTTTATAGAAGAATTCAAATCTAAACATTCCGACTGCAGCATTATATTAAATTATGAGGTTTACATCAAAACCAACACTTCACACATGCTCTTTCTTAAGGAGTAATAAGTGTTATATTCTAGATAATGTAATGGTTTCTTGACAACCATAATGTAAGTAATAGATAGTTCAGAGATGAGAATGTTATTGCTCTATGGGAATTACATTTAAATTTTAAAACATCAGGGCCAGGAATTTAGCTCAGTGGTTCTGCTGCCTGCCTTGCAAGCTCAAGGTCCTGAGTTCGATCCCTGGCACCAAAAAATAAAATAATAAAAATAAAAACATTTCATATTAAGCTAAAATACAGAGCTACTAAGTTTGGCATATTCATTGAGCTATCTTTAATGTTTCTTTAAAAAATCAGGTGACAGTTGTATTGATGATAGAAGTTTCTATACAGAATTTACTCACTTCGTCCAATCTAGTTCCATTATAAAATATGTTCTATTATATTACATAGTAAGTCAAAGTCAATTATCACTCTGAAAACTTGCTTTACCCTAAATTCTGGCTAAAGCACTCCAGGTTTTACTATGGACCGTTTTTATGCCATTGCTCCCCTTTTTCTTTTTTAAGAAATAGAATATACTTTCATAAATTTCCATAATGTGTCTTAAGAAAAGTAAGGAGGAATCAGCATAATTATGAGATTGCTGATATAGTGCTTGGAATTCTCCATGTGAGCCAGTGGATGTAAGGAGATGTACATGTATTGTTAGCGTTGTAAAGTTACTCAGTGCAGCCTGAAGCCTGAGTCTCTCCAAGATGGATGTAACCAATTTTGACAACATGTTACAGATACATAAGCATTGAAAAATAAACCAAAAACCACAGTATATTTTACTTTTAACTTTTTGTAAACCATGTTTTGTGGATAACTTCAGTTTTACCACAAGGCTGATATATTTCAATATTTTGAAAATATCTCTGGGGATTTAGTCCAGCGGTTCGGTGGCCTGCCTTGCAAGCACAAGGACCTGAGTTCAATCCCCAGTACCAAAATTATAAAAAATAAAAACAAATTTTAAAAAAGAAAATATTGGTATTAATTTTGAGTTGTCACAGGTAACCTAACCAACCACCATTATGTTTGCTATTGAGAGACACACCTTTCAATAAAATTATTAAAATGCAAAATAAATAAATAAATAATAAAAAGAAAGTCATAGGAAATTAGTTTTTAAAATATAGCCAGAAATAGGAACAAAAGAGCAAAGGAGTAAGGGAAGTGGGAAGGGTAGGGGAAAGAAAAAAAGTTAAAAGAAAAAAAGATGAGAAAAGGTAAACATTGAAACAAAGTCTCTATAAACAGGGAAGGGTGGAGGGGGTGAAGGAGGGGCAGGCACATGGGGAAAAAATAAGAACCAACATACATCATGGAAGGGTACAAGATCCCAGTGATGAATGTAACTGTACTGTATGCCTAAAAAGTACAAATAAAATTAATGAAAAATATAGTCAGCAAGAAGTGTTCATTTGTTTTTAGTTTATCTCATTCTATTACATTTAACAACAAAAACATTTGTCCTTATTTTGTTAATTATGCTAAAGCAAGTGTTTGGAAACAAATCACTGACTTTTTCACATTTCTGGGCTGGGGAAGAACATGAAAGCAAACATTTCTCTGAAAGCCACTTTGGTAATATCTGACACAACACTCCTTATTTTACTGGGGTTTTATTTCATCCTTGTAGGCTTACTATCTCACTGAATGAACAAAGAAAACATCATGTGGAAAAGGCTTCAAGCTCGCTACTTCCAAAAGGGTTCAACCTTTTGAGTGCTACCAATACCATTCATATACCCACACAGTTAGCACTTTTGAATACATTTACTGAAAACCATTAATAAAGCAACAATCTTAGTCTGGTTCTTAACCATGTGTCACAGTGAAACAAGTTCATGTAAATCTGTGAACTGCACGACAATGATCAAATTAACAGTCATTTCAAGAAAAAATGCCCCTCAGGCTGAAAAATAATTAGTAGTCTCTCACTATCTTTTCCTCCTAATAAAAATCACTATATTATTGTTGACTGTGCTAATAAAACACCTCCCATGACCCCGATAGAGCTTGATGTAAAATGTAAGGACTGTTCTACTGTGCAGTCTCACACATCTCCTACTGAACGTTTCCATTTGGCTCTTCGTCTGGGAACACAAGGGCCCAGAGAAGCTGAAGAACTTTTGTCACAGTGTAAAGCAACTCTCACTTGTTTTTTACCACAGTTATAAAACACCCATTTTGACGTTTATTATCTTTGAAATTTAACTTTTAACAGTATAAACTGGATATTCAGAGCTTTGGATCTGAGCAGGAACAAGAGCAAGATACAGACAGATAGAAAATCTATTTAGTGCAAAAAGCAGTCCAAGGTCAGCAAACAAATACGTTGCCATAAACACATCGACTCCAGGACTATGATTTTTTAAGAAGCGTATTAATTGAGAAAGTTACAGTGGTCACAGGCTCAACATTTTTTTCCTTTTAGTTACATTATACCCAATTTACAATGACTTACTGAATGCTTTTGTTCAAACAGTATTGCGGATCTAAAAGGGACAGAAAGAAGTAAAAAGAGTGATCCTCATCCTCACTAAAAGGGACAAAAAGAAGCAAAAAATGTAATTCTTGGACTCAAAGAGTTTATAAAGATAGAGTGGGTTTCTGTGCTGAAGGGGATGGTGAGTAGGTTAATAATATTTCCAAAACGTAAAGTGAGGATCAACTGTTTATTATAGTTTAGAGAAATAAAGAAGCCTAGCAAAGTCATTAAAACATTAAATAGTATTTATGTATTCAGTATAACTCATCAGAACTCAGATGTCAAGAATTAATATGATTCAATACATGTTTTTGAGTGTGGCAAGGTAAATAACTTGGTATACAATGAAGGAAAAATTCCAATGAAGGAACCATAACTAAATATAATAGAAGTCAAAATATGCTCATTTTTCCTAGTGACCATTGACTTTGTAGCAAATATTTTAAATGGACTTTTGTAACGTCTTAGAATTAGATCTTTGAAGTAATGAATAATGCATATGTTCCTTGGGCAAACCTGAGCATTTGAGGCACACATATAATTTAAAATTATTTTTAAATTTAAATATTATCTTATTGGCAAGGGGGAAAAATACATGATCAATATATATATATATATATATATATATACACACACACACATATATACATACACAATTTTTGCCAAAAAGTGAAGGTTTTCTTTTGCTTAATTTTTTCATAAAGGAACATCTTCAACATTACTCCAAACACTTCATTAAAGTGAGATATGAAGAATTCTACATTTAAAAGATGTTGGGAGGGTGTAATAAGTTTGGAAATACTACTCCAAGTTAAGTTAAACATCTCTAGGACTCTAGTATGGTCACATGCATTGTGAAACTAGGAGAAAATGTACTTCCTATAGAGCCTCCAGGAGACTAGTTCTCCAGTACAAAACTTGGCACAGTCACACTTGGTGGTAGATGAGAGCAAGCAGACTCTCAGGTCCTAGTCCCTAAAGGTGAGTCTGGAAGACCGCTTTTAACATTCTTCAGGTGTTAATTTCAGTGTTAATTGCCGGGTCTCTGCAGCTGAAGATAAGCCTTTACAATAGATGCTTCAGGTAATTCAAGGTTCACAAACACTATGGTAATAGATACAGTCATAATAGGCATTAAACCATTGTTTTGAAAAGATTTGTTATTGACAGATGAAAATAAATGTTTTATGATTAGCTGTTTTAGGCCATTGTACGGCACTATTAAAAATAACAGCAGCAGGGATTTATTTAGCTCAACATTCTGGAGCTTCAGAATCAAAGATGTGCTAGCCTCACTGGTTTGGACTTAGGGGAGGGCACTAAGAGTGGATGGCGTCACAAAGGCAGGGGCACCGTGTGGAAAGAAATCACATACTGAAAGTGGAAGCCAGAGAGGACAGATTCACAATTCACTATGAGGTCATGGCCCCAGATGACCTGCTAAGGACTCCCCACCACGCCTCATTTCAGAGTTCCCACCTCCCAACTCGATTGTCACAGTAAGGACAAATTCCCCATACATAAAACTTTAGAGAATGTGCACTATCTGAAACAGAGTCACCTGTTGCAACAGCACAAGTCTTTCATTTGGTGGGCTACACTGTCCTTCACATCACAGTCATGTTAAAATTTTAGAGAGAAGGGGGAATTTTTAAATGTTAGTGGGTGCTCAGTCTGTATTTGTTCTTGAAACAATTATTACATACACTACTCACCAATTCTTTCACTATGGAATGAGCTCTACTGGTCCTTTGCTTTTCCTTTTCTTTTTCTTTTTTTCTTTTCCACTTCTTTCTATGGAGCAGAAAAAAAAATTACCTTACCTTTTTTTTTTTTTTTTTTTTTTTCCTTTCCCTGGCTTTAAATAGTCAAGAGTTCATTAAACAGAATAGGAGGGATCGGGCATTTAGTTCAGTGGCACTAACCTTGCAAACACAAGGCCCTGAGTTCAATCCCTGGCAGCAGGGTAAAAAAATAACAGATAGAGAATTGGGCAATTGGGCTTTAAACACTATCAGCTGCTGGGTGTCTAACTCTTAACTTCCACTGATAAGGGGAAGAGCCTGTTTTGATTAGGTATTCCAGCTTTTTGAGTATTGCAACTTAAGATTCAAGAGTGAACAAGCCCAAAAAAGTGCTAAAAAGAGATAAAACTGTCAAAGAATCCCAAAAGATAGATAAAAAAGGAAAAATAAAATAAAACAAATGCTTTATTTTCTGAAGAAGTCAAGTCCACACATTAAATTGTTTCCATTTTCTTCTCATCTGGAAGATGCAATTTTTGTGTTGGATGCTGTCATAGAATTCATAAGACAGTAATGAGATTGATCTTTCTTTGAAAATAAAGATTAGTAGTGCAACTATTTGGAAAATTTGACTAAAGAACTGTTGAGAAAGTGGCTATTACTGTTCTAATAGCTAACTATTAAGGGTTATCTTCCTACTTTTCACATTCTGTATTTACAAAAAACTGACAAAACTATAACCTATGCTCATGAATTCTTATACTTCAAAATCAGTGTAACTTAACGCAATTTAAGATAAATGAGCAGATCCTAAAACCTAGTATCTCAACTCTGTTCCTGAAGTGCTTTATAATGCATTTATTAAAACTGCCAATTTTTGCTGGCCATTTGAATTTCTTGCTTTAAAAAGTGTCTATTCAGGTCATGTGGCCATTTTTGATTGAATTACTTATGCTTTGCTGTTACAATTTTAGTTACTTACATATCCTGGGTATTAACCTCTTGTCAGAAGAATAGGTAGTGAATATTTTCTCCTCTTCTGTAGGTTTTCTCTGCACTCAGCTGACTGCTTCCTTTGCTGTGCAGAAATATTTTAATGTGATGTAATCCCACTTGTAGCCATCAGTGAAATACAAATCAAAACTACAGTGAGATATGAACCATCTCATCTTAGTTGGAATAGCTGTTATAAAAAATGCTGGAAAAATATCGGGGAAAGAGAATTTTTATTCACTGTTGGTAAGAGTGCAAATTAGTACAACCATTGTGGAGAACAGAATGGAAATTCCTCAAAAAAACTAAAAATAGATCTACAATGTGATCCCATTGTCCAATTCTGGAAATTCACCTAAAGGAAATGAAATCAACATGTGAAAGAAATGTGTACATGTCCATGTCTATTGTGGCACTTATTGATAATAGCTAAGATATGGAATCAGCCTTGGTGCTTATTAACAGATCAATGAACACAGAAAATACAGCACCCAAACAAATGGAATATTATATAGCCATCAAGAGTGAAATCTTGTCATTTGCAGCAAAATGGGAAAGAAGTCTGGAGGATATTAAATGGAATAAGCCATACACAGAAAGACAAATAGCACATGTTCTTTCTTATATGTCAAAGCTACAAGAAGTATACCTGGATCTGAATGTAAAACAGTGAATACTAGGGGTTGGGAAGGGTGTTTGTGTGGTGGCAAAGAATAAATGGTTGGATTTGATCAGTGTGTAGTGCATGCCTGTGTAGAAATATCACACTGACCCCCATTACTATGTATAATTAATATGTGTTAATAAAAAATAATTATTGAAAATGCCAATTTTCACATTTCTTTGAAAGTAAAATGATTCTGGTAATATACATTTTGAAAAACAATGTCTATTGAGAAATTAAACTATTATTTATGAAAAATTTTCAGTGATACAGCAAGCAAAATTCCACCTGAAGATAGTTAAGCAATAGATGGGTGGTTGAATGAATGAATAAATGAACAAATAAATGAAGATAGCTGGTACACACAAATACAATTCCTCTCTCAATCATTTAAATTCTAGGTCTTTATTTGCCACTGTGAAAAAAAAAGAGTTTAAATGCTAATGTATTGCTTAGTTTTGTTCTGTTATTTTATTGATGCAGCAAACCGTCTATCATAGTCACAGCGACTTAAAACGACCCTCTATTACTATCTCTCACCTTTCTGTAAACTGACTCTCTTTGCAGCGTTTGCAGTTTTAAATAGAAGTTTCTCAAGGAATGTCGGAAAGGATGACTGGTGTCACCTGACAGTTTGACTGGACAGACATTCCCAGTGGAGAGCAGTGCATGCTGGATGACACATGAGTGCTCTGCTGGGGCCGCACGCCACACAATGTACAAGCAACACTTTCGTGTGGCTCAGGCTTCTTCTAGGTTTTTAGAGGAAGCACCATAAATACAGTTGTGCCAAGAGGCCCACAGGAAAACTACAAAACTATGTATGATGTAGTCACGGAAATCCCTGGCTGTCACTTCACTATAGGAACAGACAAGTCAATAAATCCAGGCAACATTTAAGAAGAGGGTAACAGCTTCCATCTTCTGATTTGAAAAGGGGAGCAGGAACTGGTGGTGTTTCACACTATTACACCTTTTTAGTGGTTCTTCTCTCTTCAAACACATAAATATGTCTACAAATTAAAATGAGGTATTTCAGTGAAAGCATTTCTATTCCTGACATAAAAAGATCTCAAACCATTCAAATTCCCTCCAGATATATTTGTCCTTCAGGCATAGAAAAAAAATTGCAAAACACTTACATATGATTTGCTTCATTTCAATGAAATCTAAACATTGCCAATAATTTGTATGTCCTGCAGTTGATAGCAAATATTTTATAAAATGTGAAGTTTGAAGAAAGTTCAAATACCCTTGTTTTACCTGTAGTCATCAACTGTTAAACAGAGTATATCCCTCCTTTCATGTATGTCAAAATGGAGTAAATATGTATAATCCTATTTTGCAGAGGAGGCTCAAAAAGTTAAATGTTCTTTTATTTTTTAAATCTTTTTCCTAAATTTGCCAATTTAATAAATAGTAAAAGTGACTCCAGCCCAGGGATTTTGCCCCACGATACATGCTGCTTTGATAAAAAGTTAATGAATATGGTGAAAATTTGTGGAGAAACTGGAGATGAAAGCATGGCGGTAAGATGTGAAGATACAGTAGGAGCCAGGGAACAGGGCACCAAGAAAATTTCATTTTACTGCTAGTCCAACACATGTTTTCCGCTATCCTAAACTGCCAGAGTGACAGAGTCTTATAACATCCACAGTCTGGGAAAAATGAAAAACAAAGCAAAACTGTAGACAGCGGAGAAAGAGAATAATGCCACAGAGGTCATGGAACCGGCAGCCAGGTTAAGGCACAGTGTGGCTGGCGGTGGGGTGTGGGAAATACACTGACAAGTGAGGAACAATGAGCTACATGGAGCTGGGAGGGGCGACCCAATCCCTCCCTCCGTGCTCACACCCCTGCTGCTGAATAGCCTTTTGGCTTTGTGCAGCGCTTGAGGAAAGCTGTGAAAGCAACGATGAGAACATCCATACTGCCAGTTACATAGCACTCTCTAATTTTTTTTAATCTTTCTACTGTTTAAAAACAAAACAAAACAAAACAGCATGCCTATAGCAAAATGAATTAATTTGAAATTTCAGTAACAAGGAAATATAATGTAACAAATGAAATACACTGCTGCCTAATTATATAGTATTATGTTTCTGTTCCAGACTCATGTTTGTAGTTCAATCTTAAAAATGGAGAAAATAGAATAAGCAGCGTTAACTTTGATTTATTTTATTTCTCTAAACAGCATATAATTGTTTTAAATGGAGTTAATTTTTTTGAAGAAAATACTCTGACAAATAAAATTACAAAAAAGAAAGGGATATAATGAAACTGTTAAACATCACCTATTATGTTATTAGTATAATAGGACATTTGCATATGTGACTTGTTGGGAGACTAATCCCTACAAAATATTATTCATTAGGCTTTAAAATCTCATCAAAATTTGCCTCAAAAATCATGCCACATAAGCAACTTTTTAATGATATATTTTTGAATAAATTGATTCATTTCTTTGAGGGGCTAAGTGATATCATATTATTCTTGATAAAACTGATGCACACTTCAATCCGTGACAAGTTACATTTCCTTAAAAAGAAATCAAATTTAATGTTATTATTCATCTGCCTGTGAGTCTTATCTATGCATTCATCTATATTCATCCCAACCTATTATGAATAATAATTTCTATTTTATTATCCATGTTTTTTGCTGCAAAATGCACAAAAGTAATTAAACCAAATTGAAACAATTATAAAAATACACTATTCAATAACTCAGTTGCCAAAAAAGTTTTACTGTACCACCCTAAGGAGACAAAAAAAAAAAAGCCTCTATAGCACTAACATCATTGCACAGTTCCACATGTTACATTTATTCCTGCAAGCCAGCCAAGCTCAAATTAATTGTACTGACTAAACTTTTCTTCTTGGAGAAAATTAAAGATATGCTGTTGTCAACACTTGAGCACAACCTTGCCGACACTTAAATGCAGAGAAGGGTGTGACATCCTGCCCCGGCTGCCTTGTGCTAATTAATCACTCTGGTATTTAGGACCATTCAAGCAGACAAATTAATGGGGAATAATTAGTGTATCTTTGTTCCAGCTCAGCTTTGCACACCAGACACTCACAGGGAGAGAGGGGAGTTTGCAGAGTGCGAGCCATTAGCATGTGCATAGTTTCACTTCTGTTCAGCAAGTTCTTGGGAGATTAAGAGAAAGGCCAAATTAGCAGACGTGTGACGGGGTTAGGACACCATTCTGGAAAGAAAGCCCTCTGTTTGGGTATCAGCTTTCAGAAGCAAGTTGTTCATCCAGATACTGAATTTCATAAAATCCAATTAAACCCCAGGGAAAACATAATTTCATAATTCCAAAACAAGCTCTTAAAGAAGTAAAGTGAGAAAGTCATTTTATTTACATTATTCATATTTATTTATATAATATGGAGATAAATGCAACCTGAAGAAATTGCACATTTTATCTTCATTTGTGTTGGCTTCTGTGAAATTTTATTGAAAATAGATTTTTATCAACCAATAACACACATTTTGTAATTAAATAATATAGTCCATTTAACCTCTCTCCATTTATGAAGACCTCTCTGTAAATAATCCCTACAGCCATAAAATTGAATTTTTTTTCTGATAGGAATTATAGAGTGGAAAATTTAAAGTCTCCATATAGAAACCAGAGTGACAAGAGAGTATTGATTAAATTCTGTCCCACTTTACAGTGCCGACTGGGTTCAGTGTGCCCACTGACTGAGTGAAGGTAAAGCTTTTTACCAAAATATATTTTGAATCTAAAATATAAGTTTTGAGATTTAGTCCATTGAGAAAATACCACAGTTTAGATTCACTGTCAGAAATAAAACAGAAATGAAACCAACTGTCTCCTAAGAGTTCAAATTTTCCTGGAATAAACTTATCAGTTTTGCTTTGCTACTTAGATTCCTTTCCTCACCAGACAGTAACATCCCATTTTCCCATACACAATATGCAAACACCAAATTACATACTGGTGATAAATTATTTCAGAGCATTTTATTAATAGTTTGCTATCTACAGAACCAATGAAACATACCACGAATAATTGTGTGAATATATGTATATACATTCACATAATCACACTTTTAATACCATATGTGTGAGTGATCTTTAATTACATTTTTCATTTTTATGCAGTTTATGTAAGGAAGAAATTTTTGCTATTTCTGTATACCTAAGGTTCATGTGTGTGTGTGTGTGTGTGTGTGTGTGTGTGTGCATGTGTGTGTGTTTTCTTTACTATTTACTACATCTCACTAACTCTCTAGCCTTGTGCTTTAACATTCAAGGCAAGGATAACTGATGCAGCCAATATGGAACACTCCTGAAAATTCCACATATCTGCAGGAAGGTTCATCCCCTGAAAATTTCACCTTTGAGTACTACACATATCAGGCTGGTCTGGAGGGTCAGGGGCCAGTGTGAACGAGACCACATAAGAGAGAAAAGAGACCACAGGTGACACAGGTGAGCAGTCCTTTTGGAAGGAAATTCCACCACCCAAACTACAACGGAATTTAGTACGGAGCACTGTGTATGAGTTTAGTTCTCCTGATAACACAACATGAAAATAGTGAAAGAATACTTGCCATGATTTTGGATTTTTAAAAATTCACACTCAATTGTTATGTTTCATAGAAACATCATTGTAATGTATAATACTCTAGGATTTGTGCTGGTGGACAAGGAGGGGGAAAAGCCAGTCACAAAACCACACACTCTCAAAATTTCTTAGAGGCGAGAAATGAATCTCTCTCGTTTCCTCTGAGAT